TAGATTCATCTAAACACCCGAAATTGTCCATTTTGTTCAAGATTCATGACCTTCCCTTCAAAACTGAACTGTGACCTTGCACATGCAAATCTCAATCCCACACACACATCGCATCCATCATGCCATCATATGAAAAGTACGAGAATCTCATAATCCACTCTGAGTCACCAGCAGAAAACATACTCAATCGGTCAGAAACCTTCCATTTGATCCCATCCAGGAGAAAAATCACTATACGGAACATGCTCCTCATGCCGGTAGGAAATATCCATTTCAAACCGTGGTAGAAACCATCGAGAACTCTTCAAAACCCATTTGCACATAATCAAGCCATCAAAACTGAATATCTCTAACTCAACCAAGCCACACAGGTCACCAAAACTAAGAGTATTGAAACCAAAACACCTGTAGAGCCTCACCACATCATAAGTACCCAAAGAACAGATCATATCCATTACCGTACTAATCCAACCTACAACCAAGCTGTCCTATTTTCTCCAAGTTCCTTCTAAATTACCCTCAAGTTGAAACTCCTCCTCGTCATAATACCATGATCCTCAATCAAAACTCACCCTACAAGGTCCTAGAATAACACCACACCGCCCTAAGGCCCACAAGCCGATGTATTCCCTTTTATGCACCCCAAAACTACCACAACCGAGACACCAACTCTAAAGAGACCTTCCGTGAATCCAAAACCGTTTCCTTCACCCTCATAACGTTGAAATGTAGAATCCATAATGATATAGAAATGCCACAAGTCTCGATACCATTCAACTTAAATCTCAGATTCTAGCCATATACAAATCCGCAAAATTCTCAATTGCTACATATAAATCTTAAATCCATTAGAACCTTCTTGAGAGTCATCAACTCTACTAAAATCTCAGTTGCACCGACCAAACGGGCCAAACGACCAGTGCCCCATTAGCACAACAACACCCAAAGAAGTAATCCACACCTTTAAGCAACCGAGCAATTTCCTACTCCACGCGCACTACATCCTTCACTAATAACAACTCAATCATCCCATGATTCTCAAATACCCATACTCTATTACTGCCATAATACCACAGGGAGATTCAACTAAATCCTTCATAAGCTTACATAACACAAACATATAGTACCTCAAATCATCTACTAAGCTCGCATACATCCATATGATGATCAAGTCAGCTTTCTCAACCAAGTTCAAATTCAAATCTCAACACACATACCCCGCTGGTAGAAAAGAAACTCTCCACACAATATTATAAGGATCACACCTCCATAGATTACTCCGCAAGAGATAACCCACCTGCTTAGCCTCAAATTGGCATCTTGCTATACATGAAATCTACTTCGTTCCACAATTAAACAACATGAAAAATCTTCCAACACACTCATAACTCGAGACTATACATCACATCAAGATAGCAATCTAGCACCTAATAGTCCTTTTTACATCTAAAGCAATCTATTCTCGTCAAAATCAAACTATCTGAACACATCCCGCATTCACATCATACTCATCATATAGCCATCCAGCCACTCATCGAGCCATAATTTCCACTAACAAGGACACTACAGGACATATAAGTCCAAAAAAATATACTCACACAATCAAAATCCCCGTGCTCAAGCTACAGTCAAACCCCAGCCTCAAGTCCTCCAGAATGGCCCATCATCAGCACACCTAAATCACATCTCGCACCTCATCCATGGAATCACAAGCCGGTGATGCACAACTGATACCGAGCACTCACATGTGCACGCGAATGTGTGGAGGAAATTCAAAAAGTTATGTTTCAAGCTGAATCAATGTCGCACAATAAGAAGAGAAAGATGGGAAGTTTATCCTAAATGCCCTGTAGCCTCTCGAAGATAGGTATGGACATCATCATACTGATCCGCAAGACTCTACTAGACACTTGCTCATGACTTGTAGAACCCATGAACCTAGAGCTCTGATACCACCTTATCACGACCCCAAATCCAACTAGTCATGATGGCACCTGACCCAACCTGCCAGGTAAGCCAATTAACAACTATCCAATTTAATGAGATTTATTAATAAAGAAATGATAATACAACTGCTTTTATATAAGAATTTTCCAAGGACTGGTAGTACAAATCATTAGCTTCTAAGATTTAGAATTTACAAAGCTGGTATGAAATAAAGTACATCATCTGTCTGAAATATACATGAACAGATAAAAATTCTAAAGCTACCAAGATCGTGAGGCAGCTATGACTGAAACGCAGGTACATCTTCTAATTCAGCTCCCACCGTGCACATCAACATCAGTGTCCAACATCTGCACGCAAGGTGCAGAAGTGTAGTATGAGTACAACCGACCTCATGTACTCAATAAGTAACAAACCTAACCTTAGGTTGAAAGTAGTGATGAGCTGGGACAAGGGTCAGAGTCCAACTCCAATAACCAACAATAGTTCATAACAATATAATAAAATGGTACATGAAAATAACTCATAGATAAGATGCTTAACTCGTTCACAATTGCGAAAAATAGGCATGCTTTTCAAGTATAACAGGCAACTCCAAATCTTTCACCAAAAACACCAAAAACATATGAGAAAGTTTGAAAACTATGATTTTTCCCAAAAACCATTCAAGAATAAACAAGATGTTTCGTTTTCAGGTAGCATGAGGAAAATACATCTTTATGCCTTCACGTCAATATACAGGTGAGATCATGAATGACACCAAAACCGGGTAGCTGAAGGAAATGCATCTCTATGCATGTATCTCAAGTACGCATGTCAAATGCAATGTATCTCAGTNGGGCTCACAACGCTCATACTAAGCATCCCCAATTAATGATGCAAGATGTGACAATATACAATAACAGAGACTGAGATATAATATGAAATGATGAATGTGACTGAGTACATAACTGCAATTAAGCAAATAACTCAACAGCAAAGAACAACCACTGTGGGTCCCAATAGTACCATCATATAGCCTAAACATGATTTCTAGCATAAATTACAGCTCTAGTGCTCTAACACATAGAGTACAACAAAAATATTCAGATAAGATAGCTACATAGTTCCACGAAATCGACTAAATCATAACTCACACGGTGCATGCCCACACGCCCGTCACCTAGCATGCGCGTCACCTCAACATCAATCACATAATAAGTAATTCAGGGTTTCATACCCTCAGTACCAAGTTTAGAAATGTTACTTACCTCGAACAAGCCAAATCCAATACCGAGCAAGCCAAGCGATGCTCCAAAAATGCCATCCCGTGTGTACCGACCTCCGAACGGCTCGAAACTAGCCAAAAGCAACTCAAATACATCAAATAATTCCAAAGGAAATAAACTCAATTGATAAAGGTCGAATCTTTAATCAAAAGCCCAAAATCAACCCAAAAGGTCCGACCTGGGTCTGCGCCTCGGAACTCGACGAAACTTATAAAATCCGACAACACATTCAATTACGAGTCCAACCATACTAGTTTCACCCAAATCCAACTCCGAATCGATGTTCAAAACTCAAAAAACAAACTCACTCTATGAAACTTTAGGCTAAAATCCCAATTTCTCTTTAAAATTTATAATCCAATTATCAAAAACGAAGATGGAATTACGAAATATAATCAAACCCGAGTATAAAACACTTACCCCTATCCTTGTTATGAAATTCCTCTTCAAAGCTGCCTAAAACTGAGCTCCAAGTCTCAAAATAAGAATAAAACAACCAACCCTCGAAAATATAGCTTATGTCCAGTGATTTTCGCTTTTGCGAACAAAGGGCTGTTTCTGCGGCGTCGCTTGTGCGACAAAACTTGTGCTTCCGCGGAAAATAACCGGAACTCACTTATCACACCTATAGAACAAATTTCATTTCTGTGCACATGCAGGTGCGACCACTGCTTCTGCTTTTGCGACGAATCACACTTCTGCGACCTAGCCCTCCGCACGCAGGTGCCGGACAAATCTCGCTTCTGCAGCCTTCACGCCCAGCTGCCCTTATCCCTTATGCGAAGGAAGACCCCGCATCTGCAAAGTCTCTTCTGCGACCAATTGATCGCATATGCGGCCACACCAAAACTAACAGCCTTAGCCAAATTGCAACATACAGCGAAATGGTCTGAACCTCATCCGAAACTCACCTGGACCACTCGGGACTCCGTCTGAATATACCAATTAGTCCAATAACATAACGCGAACCTACTCGAGGCCTCAAATCACGCATAATAATATCGAAATGATGAATCTCACCTCAAATCCAACATAATGAACTTTGAATCTTTCAACTTCCAAAACTCGTGCCGAAATATATCAAATCAATCCGGAATGAACCCAAATTTTGCACACAAGTCCCAAATGAAATAACGAAGCTATTATGATTCTCGTAACAACAATACAAACTCGATATCATCAAAGTCAACTTCCGGTAAAACTTATGAACTTTCCAAACCTTCAAATTTTCCACTTTCGCCAATTAGTGTCGAATCCTTCTAGAAATATCCGAATGAAAATCCGGGCATATGCCTGAGTCCAAAATCATTATCCGGACCTAACGGAACTATCAAAACTATGTTCCTAGGTCAAATTCACAAAAGTCAACCTTGGTCAACTCTTCCAACTTAAAGCTTCAACAATGAAATTCATTCTTCCAAATTGATTCTGAATAACCTTAAACCCAAAACCAACGATTCATACAAGTTATAATACATCATACAGAGCTACTCATGCCCTTAAACTGCCGAGAAAAGTGCAGTTTCTCAAAATGACCGGTCGGGTCGTTACAATACAGCTGGATTAATCTCTTCGATATCTTCTATAGTCCACCCCAAGGCTCCTTTATGTGCTTTCAACACTTTAATCAATTTTTCTTCTTGTCCTGCAGTAAGAGAAGATGAAATAATTACTGAAAATAATTCTTCCTCAAGATAAACATATTTTAAATGAGAAGTGAGAACTTTAAGTTCAATTTTGGTTGAACTTGTTCTGGTTGCATCTCCTCATCTTCAGAATCATTTTTTAGTATTTCGGCTTCTCTTTTGATGATAGGATCATCATCTTGTATGGTGCCAGATTTGGCCAAACATCTTTCAATTGATCATCTTTTAATTCATCTGTAAGACAATTAAGCATGTCAATCGAAAAATACGAAGATGATGTCTCATCTCCTGAAAATCTTAATATCTTTTGCATATCTAAAATGACTATTTCTTCATCAACTCTCAAAATCAGTTGTCTTTGATGGACATCTATGATTTCTCTACATGTTGTAATAAATGGTCTACCAAAAATAATTGGTTCATCAGGACATTCCTTCATTTCAAGTACTATGAAATCTATAAGGAAAACAAACTTATCTACTCTTACGAGAACATTTTCAATTATCCCCTTAGGTTTTTTAGTACTTTGATCTGAAAAGTGAAGAGAAACACATATGTCTTTCATTTCACCAAGATTTAATTTTTTAAAGATAGAAAATGACATCAAGTTAATTGAAGCACCAGAATCACAAAGTGCTTTTTCAAAATATACTCCTCCCAAAGTGCATGGAATTGTAAAACTACCTGGATCGCCAAGTTTTTGTGGTAGCCTATTTTGAAGTATAACACTGTATTTTTCAGTAAGCATTACCATAGAAATTTCTTTCAATTTTCTTTTACTTGACAAAATTTCCTTTAGGAATTTGGCATAAGAAGACATTTGCAACAAAGCATCAATGAAAGGAATATTAATGTGAATTTGTTTTAATATCTCCAAAAACTTTGAAAATTGATTATCAAGATTTTCTCTTTTCATTTTTTGTGGAAATGGAATTGTTACAGGGAAAGAAGTCAATTTTTCAATATTATTTTCTTCTTTTTTATTGACTTCTTTCTCTTCAGATAGTTCAGAGGGTATTTCAATATTCTTATTGGTGTTTACCTGTTGTTCCGACTGGTCTGCATAAGGTTCATCAAGCAACTTACCTGACCGTAAGGTGATGGCCTTAAGGTGCTCCTTTGGATTTTTCTCTGTATTGCTTGGCAAGGGACCTTGAATCTTTTCTGACACAAGAGTTTCCAGTTGGCTTAATTTAATTTCCTTATTTTTTAGGGTTGAACCCTGACTTTTCATCTTTTCATCAGTGACCATAATGTACTTATACAAAAGGTCATCAAGACTTGAATGAGCTTGTTGAAGCCTTTGCTGATATGACTCTGCTTGTTGAAGCCTTTGCTGATATGACTCTACTTGTTGATAAGGTCTGTAGTTTGGTTGCCCATGGTTCTGATTCTGGTATCCCGACGGACCTTGTACTTGTTGCTTCTGGAAGCTTTGAGAGTTCTCTGCACCATTTGGATTGCTCAATTGAAATATTGGATGCTTTTGTGCCATTGGACTCCCAAAAGGTACGGTTTACAATTGATAGAATGGACCTGATCATCATTATAATTGGTTGCATGACATTCATGGTTCAGATAGTTTCATCCACAAATGTCACAAGCCTCAGACTGGCTTGGTTGTTGTGTATTCACCTGAAAAGATTCAAAATTTTATGCCAAAGAAATAATTTGTTGTGTTAGTGTATTTAAAGTATCAACCTAAGCCTTCTTGATGATTACACGCTCAGATGGCCATTGGATGACATTCTTATAAATCTCGTTCAACAATTGCAATGCTTCCTCCATGGTTTTTCCCATTACAAAACCTTCTGCAGCTACATCAATCACATTTCTAGAAGAGGATTTTAACCCGTGATAAAAAATATACAATTGCATATGTTCAGGATTGATATGGTGTATGCATTTTCTTAACATTGCTTTTAATCTTTCCCAAGCTTGATAAACTGACTCAATGTCAGTCTGCAAGAAATTAGAGATGTCTTGTCTTAACTTTGTGATTTTAGCAGAGGAAAAATATTTATTTAAAATATTTTGAGTCATTTGGTCCCATGTGGTAATGGAACCTTGTGGAAAAAATTGCAACCAAGTCTTGGCATCTCCTTTTAAAGAAAAAGGAAATAGCCTTAACTTGATAGCTTCAAGAGGTACTCCATTATACTTAGCTATTTCAACAAGTTCCAAAAAGTCAATAAAATGACTGTGTGAATCTTCACTTGCGTCTCTAGTGAAGATGCAAGACTGTTGAATCGTTTGAATCAGAACAGTCCTGATTTGTAAGTTGTTGGCTGCCACTGGGGGTTTTCTGATACTAGATTCACAGTTGAAGCGGTTAGGTCTAGCATAATCCCTTAGGATTCTATTTGCTGGCCTTGGTGCTACTTCATCAAACTGATCCTCCACTTGTACTAGTGGTTGAATGTCTTCTACTCCCCGATTATCCATTCCTTCATGAGCTATGCTTTGAGAAGATGATGTTTGTCCTTTCCTGCACAATCGAAGAGATTTTTTAATTTTTGAATCGTAACTAGCCACTTTTTTGTAGAAGAGCGGGTCATAAACTACCCCAAATTTTTAAATAAAAGAAATGCAAACCCCCTCCCCCCTTTTTTTTGTTTATAGAAAATTAAAGTTGTTCCTAAAATAATAATAATACTAGATAAAAAATATGAACTATTGTAGTAGTATTACTAAATAACAACTAAGTTTTTTTTGAAATATAAACAAAAAAAATAATAATAACTTAACAATAATTATAATAATAAGTACTCAAATTAGTAACAAAATATTTAATCTGAAGTAGATGTATGCCAATCCCCGGCAACGGTGCCAAAAATTTGACGAGACGAATGTGTATTGGAATTTTCTGCTCGTACTCACAGAGATTGGATAATCTATGCTACAGAATTATAATATTTTAACTACAATTTGAGAGAATCAAACTGATGAAAAGTGAGTGAGGTTTAAAACTTGTTAATTACTTAAACAAAACAAATAATGTTTGAAAGATTTATAATTTTAAAAAAGAGTTGGGAAATATATAATTCACTTGATAATATTACTATAATAAAATCTCAATTTCTACATTTATTTATTTAAAGAATAATTTTTTATTTCTAATATAATTATATTTTACTCACTAAGAAATAACCAATTAATAACACTCCATGAGAATTATGTTAATTAATCAACTTAAGACTAATGACGTTTAAACTGAAATATTTTTCTTGCTTGAATTGTGCTAAAAGAAAGTAAAAACTTCGTGAAAATATTTTTACTAAGTATCAATAATCTTGCCTGCAATAATTCCTCCGTGAGAATTAAAATTGAGGCAAGCAAGTTTACTAACTTGAAATAATAGTTTACTAAAACATTACTCACTCTACTATTTGATTCATCAGTTATTATATATTAATTTTTTTCCGCGAGAATTACAAAATTAATATATGATAAATATATAGACGTGATAATAGAGTAATTAAAAACCATTATTTCAGGACAGTATGAAATATAAATAAAAAGTTTCAAGCCAAGAATATAAAAACTGAGATAGTATTATAAAATATATCAAGCTTCATCCACTATTCCAACGAAAAGAGATTACTCCATTATGGAGTAAGAAAAGCTAAAAAAAGGTTTAGAAGACTAGAAATATTTAAAAAATTAAGGAAATATTTTTACTACAAAGAAAGAAGACCAAGACTAGTTCTTGTCTTATAAAGATTGGATATCCTTATACAAAGAGAGCTTGCTATTTATAGGAAAATATGAGTAGCTTTTGTCATGTTCCACTTTTGCAAATGTGAAATCCATGTATACGAGGTGACCTTTGTGTACTGTCACAACCCAAAATTCACTATAGGTCATGATGGCGCCTAACGCCGCCGTCAGGCAAGCCAACAGTGATTGATCAACTTAATTGCTCATTTTTATTACTTGAAATCATAATTTCCATTAATTAAATAGTATAAAATGAAGATTCCAAGGTGAAATGATAATAATTACGTGAACTACCATACTAAACATCTAGTATGAATCCCCAAAACCCGGTGTCACAAGTGCATGAGCATCAACTAGGAAATATAATAAAATACAACATCTGTCTCGAATACAAGTTAGATAGGAGAATATAAATAACGCTGATGGAGACTCTATATGCTACGGATCGTAATATAGAATGCAGCTCACCGTAAAGTCCTTGCAATAGTTTCGCCTCTGCACCCAAGAGACCACCAGAAATGTAAACCTACACAATAAGTGCAGAAGTGTAGTATGAGTACGTAAATCAACGCATACCTAGTAAGTATCTAGCTAACCCCGGAGATATAGGGACGAGGGGTCGACATCGACACTTACTAGTGGTCCAATAAATTATGTATAGTAAGAAGTAAACAAGTATGAGGAAGAGTAAACAAATGGTATAAACCAATATAAATACGAGGTATAATCCTCCTCTGAACAGTAAACTCAAGCTCTCAATTAGCAGTTACTCCCTCAACCGGAGTATATATAAAATGGACCTCACCAGATAGGTCGTCACAACTCAAATCAGGAAAAACAAACACGGATACGCTGATTTCTTATCAAATATTACGCACGACGCTGCCGAGGCGAACGGCCTAGTCCATAAGAGTATTTTATAGCAATGCCGCCACGAACGGCCCGATCCAATCATAATATGTGCACTGCCGAGGGTCGAACGACACGAACCATAGATGCATCTACTACACTACCAAGGCAACGACCCTCTCCCATAAGAGTGTGGCACATTATCCTGCTGAGGCGAACGGCCCGATCCCATTAGAATAAGAAGCTTTAACAGATCCCTAACCCCACTCACGAATAAACGTGTGAGTTATGAATTTTAAGAAAAACCTTGCGATGAATATGCACAATGCAGGAGAAATTCATAAGGGAAGCACAAATTATTCCGCGGATTATCAAGTAGCTCATCACATCTCTACAATAGCGAGTCTATCACCCTTTGCAAGTCTAGTCTCAAGTCGTAACGCGAAATAAAGGAATTTAAACGAGCAAAGATAACTCAAATAGTACAATTATAGCATGGCGTGAACCTAAGCCTACCGGGACATAATCATGAATTCTAGCATATGCATAGACACTCGTAACCTCATACGTGCGTAGCTCCCACAACATATAGCACATAAGACTATAACACCTACGGGGTAATTTTTCCCTCACAAGGTTAGACAAGAGACTTACCTCGCTCCAAATTTATATAACCGGCTCCAACACCTCTCTAATACCTCAAACCAAATTTCCATCGATCTGAACTAGTCAAACAATCATGAAAAATCAATAAAAATATACTCCAACATCACAATCAATTTATTTATAACAATTCTCAACTGCGCTCGAAAAGTCAATAAAGTCAACCCTCGAGCCCACATGCCCGAATTTTAAAAATTATTGAAAATAAATATTACCCATAACTCATATGGTCTATATCCAGAAAAACATCCAATTTCATCCATGAATCGACCCTCAAATCAAGGATTTACAATTTCTCAACTTTGGGGCTCAAAATCCCAATTTCTACAATCCAAAAACGGATAAAAATAATAACCAACAGAAATAATAATGGATAAACATCAAAATAAAGGTCATATAGTTACCCCCTTGTTGATACAAGAACAATGCCGCAAATATCACTTCAAACGGAGCTCTAGAACTCAAGATATGCCCAAAATACTAAAATTCTCGGTTTAAAACACTGTCTAGATAATTTTTCTTCATCGCCTTCGCGGGAGACCTTCGCGTTCGCGAAGAGAAATTTTTCACATTGACGGTCAACCCAGAAATTCTTCTTTGCGTTAGCGAAACCTCTCTCGTGTTCACGAAGAACAAAGCTTCGCACCAGAAACCAACAATTTTGTCCGACAAGGAAATGGGCATAACTCTGTCATACAACATCAAAATTTGATGATTCTTGTTGCTATGGCTCAGTAATTACGATACGGATCTAATGTTTTAATCTAATCATAAATCAAAGGTCATTTTCTCAATATATTACCCCTTATGCCCAAAGAAACGACGTTGAAACATCAAATAAGAGCACGACACCATCCAAACACATCCGAAACACACTCGAGGCCCCCGGGACCCCGTCCAATCACACAAACCAGTCCCAAAACATAACATGAATCTACTCGAGGTCTCAAATCACACAAAATAACATCAAATCTATGAATCGACGATCGAAGCCTTCTTTAAACTATCAAACATTCAAACTTCGACGAACGCTTCCGATTCTTACTTAAACATTCCTAAATGACGCTAAACTTCGCATGCAAGTCACAAATCACGAAACGAACCTATTCCAAGGCTCGGAACCTCATCATACGAACCTATTGGAACCTTCCGGACCACCGGATACTCAACCCGAATACACGCCCAAGTCCGAAATTATCATACGAATCTATTGGAACCTTCAAATCCCGATTCCGAGGTCGTTTGCTCAAAAGTCAAACCTTA